TTCAGCCCAATAGCTATTCTTTATTTCTACATCTTCACATTTCCTGATCATTAACTCTTTTTTTCTTTTATGGTAGAGAGATTTTTTATTTATTTTGTTTTTACATCTTTATTGGAGTATAATTGCTTTACAATGTTGTGTTAGTTTCTGTTGTTCAACAAAGTGAACCAGCTATATGTATACATATATCCCCATATCCTCTCTCTCTTGCGCCTCCCTCCCACCCTCCCTATCCCACCCCCCTAGGTCGTCACAAGGCACCGAGCTGATCTCCCTGTGCTATGCAGCAGTTTCCCACTAGCCATCCACTTTACATTTGGTAGTATATATATGTGTCAATGTTTCTCTCTCAGTTCGTCCCAGCCTCCCCTTCCCCCACTGCATCCTCAAGTCTGTTCTGTATGTCTGTGTCTTTATTCCTGCCCTGCCACTAGGTCCATCAGTACCATTTTTCTAGATTCCATATATATGCATTAACATACAGCATTTGTTTTTCTCTTTCTTACTTACTTCACTCTGTATGACAGACTCTAGGTCCATCCACCTCACTACAAGTAACTCAATTTTGTTCCTTTTTATGGCTGAGTAATATTCCATTGTATATATGTACCACATCTTCTTTGTTCATTCCTCTGTTGATGAACACTTAGGTTGCTTCTATGTCCTGGTTATTGTAAATAGAGCTGTAATGAATATTGTGGTACACGACTCTTTTTGAATTATGGTTATCTCAGGGTATATGCCCAGTAGTGGGATTGCTGGGTCATATAGTAGTTCTATTTTTCATATTTTAAGGAACTTCCATACTGTTCTCCATAGTGGCTGTATCAATTTACATTCCCACCAACAGTGTAGGAGGGTTACCTTTTCTCCAAACCCTCACCAGCATTTATGTTTCTAGTTTTTTCAATGATGGCCATTCTGACTGGTGTGTGGTGATACCTCATTGTGGTTTTGATTTGCATTTCTCTAATGATTAGAGATGTTGAGCATCTTTTCATGTGTTTGTTGACAATCTGTATGTCTTCTTTGGAGAAATGTCTATTTAGGACTTCAGCCCATTTTTGGATTGGGTTGTTTGTTGTTTTGATATTGAGCTGCATGAGCTGCTTGTATATTTTGGAGATTGATCCTTTGTCAGTTGCTTTGTTTGCAAATATTTTCTCCCATTCTGAGGGTTGTTTTTCATCCTGTTTATGGTTTCTTTTGTTGTGCAAAAGCTTTTAAGTTTTATTAGGTCCCATTTGTTTTTTTTATTTTTGTTTTTAGTTCCATTACTCTAGGAGGTGAATGATCATTAACTCTTGAGTCAGCCTTTTACTTCAAAAAACGAGGACATTGGGGCTTGCATATGGTTTAATTTCTGCTGCAGAAACAGCCGAAGAGTTTCTAGTAACAGGAGAAGGAAATGTCCTGACTCATGGTCGTTCCTGTCACGTGTCCTCTATCTCCTGGTCTGTGGATTGGGACCCTCTGAAGTACCTAAAGTCCCTCTCTCCCCTTTACATTTAGATCATACAACACGTCCACATAAGCAGCACTAAAGTCTGTAATGGAAATGCATGAAAACCTACTGGTTATTGTGGTGCTCTTGCCAAATCCTCCTTGATTTTCCCTGACTTACTCCTGCATATTCAGATTTTTTTTTTATTTTTAATCTAGACTTCAACTGTCTACTCCACAAACCTAGTTTGAATTAACTCAATCAGTTTTATTCTCCCTTCAGGTGACCTCAAATCATCTACTAAATGTACCAGGTCTTTGGGATCATTTTTCATTTCATGGTCTCATCCTATTTACAGATCAGATAGTGGGCTAACACAATATTATCTACTGATTGATTTCATTTATTTGACATCTCAGGATTATTTTTCAAATTGTTTCCATTGTACTATATGGGAAAAATGTGGAAAAAATATTTATTAAGTCCTCAACCCTTCTAGAAGCTCATTGCTCTTCCAGAATTTGAAGGATTCGTTGCAGTGATGATATGAGCCCATTACTCACTTGTAATTCTGTGAATAATTCTGAAAGGCAAGTGTAATCATGAAAGTGTATCATAGAAGTAGTGGATCCTTGTCATAGGCAAGAGGATAACAAGGGCAAAATTTATTTCCAAATACGCTAGGAAGAAATTACATGTAAATAATAATTTTATGCCTCTGGTATGTCAACTATTAATAACTATGTAAATATTTTACATAGTATTGAAACTAGAGGCAACATTACAGGCAATTTTTCTCCATCCAGGAAGTACAGTCAAGTATTGGTAGTGATAGATGCTTCTAACCAAGATCTGCCACTATACAGACTGCCAACAAACACATGAAAGAATGCTCAACATCATTAATCATTAGAGAAATGCAAATCAAAACTACAATGAGATATCATCTCACACCAGTCAGAATGGCCATCATCAAAAAATCTAGAAACAATAAATGCTGGAGAGGATGTGGAGAAAAGGGAACACTCTTGCACTGCTGGTAGGAATGTGAATTGGTTCAGCCACTATGGAGAACAGTATGGAGGTTCCTTAAAAAACTACAAATAGAACTACCATATGACCCAGCAATCCCACTACTGTGCATATACCCTGAGAAAACCAAAATTCAATAAGAGTCATGTACCAAAATGTTCTAAATGATCTAAATAGACATTTCTCCAAAGAAGATATACAGATTGCCAATAAACACATGAAAGGATGGTCAACATCACTAATCATTAGAGAATTTTAAATCAAAACTGCAATGATGTATCACCTCACACCAGTCAGAAGGGCCATCAACAAAAAATCTACAAACAATAAATGCTGGAGAGGATGTGGAGAAAAGGGAACCCTCTTGTACTGTTGGTGGGAATGTAAATTGATACAGCCACTATGGAGAACAGTATGGAGGTTCCTTAAAAAACTAAAAATAGAACTACCATATGACCCAGCAATCCCACTACTGGGCATATACCATGAGAAAACCATAATTCAAAAAGAGACATGTACCACAATGGTCATTGCAGCACTATTTACAATAGCTAGAACCTGGAAGCAACCTAAGTGTCCATCAACAGATGAATGGATAAAGAAGATGTGGCACATATATACAATGGAATATTACTCCGCCATAAAAAGAAACGAAATTGAGTTATTTGTACTGAGGTGGATGGGCCTAGAGTCTGTCATACAGAGTGAAGTAAGTCAGAAAAAGAAAAACAAATACCATATGCTAGCACATATATATGGAATCTTAAAAAAAAAAAACTAACACACCACTGTAAAGCAATTATACTCCAATAAAGATGTTAAGAATAATGTATAGTTCTGATCAACCTAGGGGCAGGACAGGAATAAAGATGCAGACATAGAGAATGGACTTGAGGACAATGGGAGGGGAAGGGTAAGCTGGGAGGAAGTGAGAGAGTAGCACTGACATATATATACTACGAAATGTAAAAGAAATAGCTAGTGGCAAGCAGCTGCATTGTACAGTGAGATCAGTTTGGTGCTTTGTGAACACATAGAGCAGTGGGATGGGGAGGGTGGGAGGGAAGTGCAAGAGGGAGGGGATAAGGGGATATATGTATACATACAGCTGATTCAGTTTGTTATGCTGCAGAAACTAATACAAGATTGTAAAGCAATTATACTCCAATAAAGATGATAAAGAATATTTTTATATAGAAAAAACTAAAATAAATTAACCTCCTCAACCTCAAGAGCTGTAGAGCGGATGTTTTAAAACTGAAATAAATTTAAAGTGTTTTTATTTTCAAGATGCTGTCACAATCCTGTTTCAAGTTCCCTTTAACCTTGTAGCTTCTGAAAAATGGATTACTTCATATAAACATGTTTGCCTTGTAGGTTATTTTTATATTTATACTCATGATCTTTATTCTAAGTGCCTCTTGTTATAAATACAAAATTACTACAGTTGAGTGATAAACTAGATTATTTGACTTGGGAGTCCAATAAGTAAGGTGGGAGTCCAATAAGTAAGGTGGGAGTCCAATAAACTATATTATTTGACTTGGGAGTCCAATAAGTAAGGTGGGGTGAAAGAGCTGTGCTTAAAAGAAGAAAATAGAAGACAGAGTTAGTATGAGGTGACTTATTAGAAGGGAGAAATAATAATATATTTTGACTCTGAGCCTCTGGGAACTAGCCCTGTGTGACTGCTTCTGGTCTAGGCTAGCACCAAGAGCCCTGGAGAGGGAACCTGCTGACTCTGCCTCCAGGAGCTTAAGGCTAAACTCTTCTGTCCTGGCTTCAGTGTAGAGGAACTGATAGGGAGAATCTGTCCTTCTGAATAATTCAAGCCAAAATTAACCTTGGATAAGAAGGCCATGGTTTTTACCCTAGTTTTGAGCTTTCAATATGTATATATATATATATATATATATATATATATATATATATATATATATTCATTGAGCCCATTAAATTAAGCCTAAAATATTATCAATTGTCTAGGTAACTGATCAGTTAACTAGAATTGTAAACAATCCAATTGTTCCTCACTTAGGGAATGAATAAACAAACTCTGGTAGGTCCACACATTGAATTCTACACAGCAATATAAAGAATAAACTGATACACACAACTATATGAATGAATCCTAAACCACAATGCTAAGTGCCAAAAGCCAGACTCAAATTGCTATATATATTTAAATTTCCATTTTAGGAAACTCTGGAAAAGTGAAAAGTTTAAGTTAAGAAACTATATTAGTGGCTGCAGGGAGCTTGGATTGGAGGAAGAATTAACAATAAAGTGGCATGAAGGAAATTCTTGTTATGATGGAATTGTTCTAATTATTCAGAACGTGATCTTGCCTTTCTGTCCCTTATTGTTCTCATCAGGAGGGTAAAAAGTACACCATCAAGCCTCTAGAGCTATTATAAGATTAAGTGACACAAAATAATTGCAAAACACCAGATACCAAATATGCAATCAGGAAATACACTGTAAGGGAATTATATTCAATATCCTGTAATAAAACAAAATGGAAAAGAATATGAAAAAGAATATATTTATATGTATAACTGAATCACTTTTCTGTACAGCGGAAACAATACATTATAATGTTACAAGGTTGTAAATCAACTATATTTCTATAAAATAAAAAAAATACACTGTAAAATCAGTGTTAGATATCTACTTTCTGTCATTGTACCCTAAAGTAAATGAATTATTCTTCAGTGTTTGCCTAATGCAAGTCTTTGCCTGGAGCAACTTTCTCATAGGATCCACATATATGAGGACCAGGAAATATATCTGGAGAGCTACTAACCTGTTGGTACCTGAGTAAATAAGTGGAACCAGCTATTTCACGTCAGACAGGGCTAGAATTACTTCCCACATATACTAGAGACTTCATGCAAATCACCAGAAGCTACCTTATATGGTACACAAATTACCCAATTATGGCCCCTCCAGGAGATCAATTCTGAAAAGATATCATTGTTTTGGACTAAAGCAACTCCACCCTAGGATAAGGGTTGGCAATTGAAGCATAGACTGGATTTCAGCTGGTCTGGCTTCCTCTTGGGTTTCTTTGAGCAGGGCACAGCTTGTTCAACCTGTCATTCTTTTTTTTAAAATAAAAGACAATTTTATTTTCTTTAACACAACTCCATAGAAAAAGTGGGTACCATGGTCTAAATAAGACTCATTTGATATCAGCAGTATACATTATGTAAAACTTGGAATCTCAAGGAAACTAAACTTTCTGCTGCCTTTTTGTTTACATAAGCTCACCTAGCCAATGCCCTTCCTTCACCATGAAGATAGACAGCAGCTCAGTTCCAGTCAAGGTCTGGCTAATTTTGACTCAGTCAAAATAGAAGGAAACCTGGATACAGGCTCCGGACTCTGTCCTGTTACATCATGAGATAAACTTGCAGTGAGTGCGAGCACTGCCATCTGCTTTGGAAGGCCTCAGCTTGGGCGTTAGACCTATAAAGCACCAATTCTGGTGGAGCATCAACCTGTTCATTCTTGACCAGAGTTATATCCTGTAAAGATCACACCCAAAGTATAAATTCAAATATCGCTTGGGGCTTAGGTGTCCCTATCTGATCTGCAGGCCACAGATTATTTGCTTTTAAGCAACAAACCAATGAATTAGACTGCTAGGGAGGCAAGCCTATAGGAAAAAACATGATGCTTATTATTTTTTCCAAATTATAAAAGTTATAGATGCAAAATATGGCATTGAGATAGTAAAGTATAAAAAAGAAGGTGAAAAGCACCCCTAACACCCCATTCCTAAGAATTAATAGCTAGTATATATATTGCTGTATTTCAAGCATATATATATATATTTATATATATATATATATATACTTAAAATATATATATATTTTTTCTGTACTTAGATCTTAGCTCCATAAACATCAATATTAATGACATCCAGGTTTTTAGAAGAACAGCTCGAGCCAGGTTTCCATATATGATTCAGGATTGAATGGTTGTTCCTTGCTTTTCCTGGCCTTGATGACCTTGAAGAAGAAAGAGGTAAAGATAAACAATGAGACGACCCTGATTATACATTTCCCCCTTCACTCACACTGTGTCACCTTGCTATGGGCTGCATCCCTTTTTCTCTTCCCATCTGAGGGGCTCTCCTCCCACTCTCACCTATCTTCTTTAGTGAATTCCTGTCTTTTGAGTCACCACCCCCAATTCTTGGTTGGGACCCTGAAATGAGATATGCACTCACACCCAGCGTGAGTGCATGTGGACAGGCAGGAGTTGTTGGAGAACAAGAGAGAGGAAGGAGCAGGTGTACTCAATGCCAAGTGTTGAGGGAAAGTTCTTACTGGGAGAAAAGGTGGAAGGAAGGGGCAAAAGTTATTCCTGGCTCCATGCTGTGAAGGAAGGATTGGGATATATCATTGAGAGCCTGAGCACTGGCAAGATCGAAGAGCATGTGCATTTCTGAGTGCCTGATATGTCAGCCTTTGTATTTGATCTGTTTGCATTCCAGTGCAGGCATACCTTGGAGATATTATGGGTTCACTTCCAGACCACTGTGATAAAGTGAATATTGCAATAAAATGACACACAACTTTTTTGCTTTCCCAGTGCATATAAAAGTTATGTTTACACTATACTGTAGCCTATTAAGTGTGCAAGAGCATTAATGTATATACCTTAATCAAAAAGTACATTTTGCTAAAAACAGCTGACCATCATGTATCTCTCAGCCTTCATAGAATTGAAGAGTGTTAGGACCTTACCCTGGGAATGTTGTGGCTGGTTTGACCTTCTATCCAGACCACTAAAACTTTTTCCATATCAACAATAAGGCTATTTTGCTTTCTTATCATTCATGTGTTCACTGGGATAACATTTTTAATTTCCTTTAAAAACTTTTCTTGTGCATTCACAACTTGTCTATTTGGTGCAAGAGGCCTAGCTTTTGTCTTCTTTTTTTTTTTGCCTTCCTCACTAAGCTTAATAATGTCTAGTTTTTGATTTAACATGAGGGATATGTGACTCTTCCTTTCACTTGAACACTTAGAGGCCTCTGTAGGGTTATTAATTGGCCTAATTTCAATATTGTTTTGTCTCAGGGAATAGGGAGGCCCAACGAGGAGAGAGATGGGGGAATGGTCCATCAGTGGAGCAGTCAGAACACACATAACATTTATCAAAGAAACTCACCATCTTATATGGGTGTGTGGTTCATGGCACTGCAAAACAATTTCAGTAGTAACATCAAAGATCACAGACCTCTCAGGCTGGTGAGTGCTGGTCGGCGCCGATCCTCTGTGTGGGAATCTCTCCCACTTTGCCCTCCGCACCCCTGTTGCTGTGCTCTCCTCCGTGGCTCCGAAGCCTTCCCCCTCCACCGCTCGCAGTCTCCGCCCGCGAAGGGGCTTCCTAGTTTGTGGAAACTTTTCCTCCTTCACAGCTCCCTCCCAGAGGTGCAGGTCCTGTCCCTATTCTTTTTTCTCTGTTTTTCCTTTTCTCCTTTGCCCTACCCAGGTATGTGGGGAGTTTCTTGTCTTTTGGGAGGTCTGAGGTCTTCTGCCGTCGTTCAGCAGGTGTTCTGGAGGAGTTGTTCCACATGTAGATGTAGTTGTGGTGTATCAGTGGGGAGGAAGTTGAGCTCCACATCTTACTTCTCCACCATCTTAAAGGAGCCCCAAGAATTTTTAATTTCATTTATTGTGCTGTTCATCATTGTTTGTTTGCTCTTTAGTTCTTCTAGTTTCTTTTTAAATGTTTCTTGTATTTTCTCCATTCTGTTTCCAAGATTTTGGATCATCTTTACTATCATTACTCTGAATTCTTTTTCAGGTAGACTGCCTATTTCCTCTTCATTTGTTTGGTCTGGTGGGTGTTTACCTCGCTCCTTCATCTGCTGCATACTTCTCTGTCTTCTCATTTTGCTTAACGTACTGTGTTTGGGGTCCCTTTTTTCAGGCTGCAGGTTCATAGTTCCCATTGTTTTTCATGTCTGCCCCCATTGTGTAAGTTTGTTTCAGTGACTTGTGTAGGCTTCCTGGTGGAGGGAACTGGTGACTGTGTTCTGGTAGATGAGGCTGGATCTTGTCTTTCTGGTGGGCAGGACCATGTCCAGTGGTGTGTTTTGGGGTGTCTATGACCTTATTATAATTTTAGGCAGCCTCTCTGCTAATGGGTGGGTTTGTGTTCCTATCTTGCTAGTTGTTTGGCATGGGGCGTCCACCACTGGAGCTTGCTGGCCATTGGGTGGAGCTGGGTCTTAGAGTTGAGGCGGTGATCCCTGGGAGAGCTCTTGCCAATTGATATTACATGTGGCCAGGAGGTCTCTGGTGGTCCGATGTCCTGAACTCGTCTCTCCCACCTCAGAGGCTCAGGCCTGACACCAGGCCAGAGCAGCAAGACCCTGTCAGCCCCATGGCTCAGAAGAAAAGGGAGAAAAAAAGAAAGAAAAAATAATAATTTAAGAAAAGTAAATTAAAAAATAAAAGAAAAGAAAATGTAGTAAAAGAAAATTATTAAAATAAAAAATATAAATGTAATAAAAAAAGAAGAGAGCAACCAAACCAATAAACAAATCCACCAATGATAACAAGTGCTAAAAACTATACTAAGATAAACATAAAAATCAGAAACAAGTCAGTCGCAGACAGCAAACTCCAAGTCTACAGTTGCTCCCAATATCCACCACCTCAATTTTGGGTTGGTTCGTTGTCTATTCAGGTATTCCACAGATTAAGGGTACCTCAAGTTGATTTTGGGGATTTAAGCTGCTGCTCCTGAGGCTGCCCAGAGAGATTTCCCTTTCTCTTCTTTGTTCGCACAGCTCCTGGGATTCAGCTTTGGTTTGGGCCCCACCTCTGCATGTAGGTTGCCCTCAGGCTCTGTTCCCACCCAGACAGGATGGGGTTAAAGCAGCAGCTGATTAGGGGGCTCTGGCTCACTCATGCACGGGGGAGTAGTTATAATTGGAATGAGGGGTGAGCCTGCAGTGGCACAGGCCAGCGTGACGCTGCAACAGCCTGAGGCACACTGTGTGTTCTCCCTGGGAAGTTGTCCCTGGATCATGGGACCCTGGCAGTGGCAGTCTGCACAGGCTCCTGGGGTGTGTGTGTGTGTGTGTGTGTGTGTGTGTGTGTGTGTGTGTGTAGCGACCTGTGCTTGCACACAGGATTCTTGGTGGCTGCAGCAGCAGCATTAGCATTTCATGCCCGTCTCTGCTGTCTGTGCTGACAGTTGCAGCTCACGCACATCTCTGAAGCTTGTTTAGGTGGTGCTCTGCCTTCTGTGGGAAGACAGGGAAGGAATCCTCTCACCTCACACACCACAAAACAATGGTCTCTTGCCTCTTAGGCAGCTCCAGACTTTTTCCCGGACTTCCTCCCTGATAGCTGTGGCACAGTAGCCCCCTTCAGGCTGTGTTCACGCAGCCAACCCCAGTCCTCTCCCTGGGGTCTGACCTCCGAAGTCCAAGCCTCAGCTCCCAGCCCCCAGCCTCCCTGGTGGGTGAGCAGACAAGCCTCTCAGGCTGGTGAGTGCTGGTTGGCACCGATCCTCTGTGTGGGAATCTCTCCACTTTGCCCTTTGCACCCCTGTTGCTGCGTTCTCCTCGGTGGCTCTGAAACTTCCCCCCCGGAACCCATTCCCCGTATCCGCCAGTGAAAGGGCTTCCTAGTGTGTGGAAACTTTTCCTCCTTCACATCTCCCTCTCAGAGGTGTGGGTCCCATCCCTATTCTTTTGTCTCTGTTTTTTCTTTTGCCCTACCCAGGTACGTGGGGATTTTCTTGTCTTTTGGGAGGTCTGAGGTCTTCTGCCAGCATTCAGTAGGTGTTCTGTAGGAGTTGTTCCACATGTACATGTATTTTTGATGTATTTGTGGGGAGGAAGGTGATCTCCATGTCTTACTCCTCCGCCATCTTGAAAGTCCACTCTATAAAAATGTATATATATATTTTTTTGCGGTACGCGGGCCTCTCACTGCTGTGGCCTCTCCCCTTGCGGAGCACAGGCTCCGGACATGCAGGCTCTGGACGCGCAGGCTCAGCGGCCATGGCTCACGGGCCCAGCCGCTCCGCGGCATGTGGGCTCTTCCCGGACTGGGGCACAAACCCGCGTCCCCTGCATCGGCAGGTGGACTCCCAACCACTGTGCCACCAGGGAAGCCCTATAAAAATATTTTGAAATGAATAATTTCTAAAGTCTCTCCAAGCTTATAGAGGAGAATAAACAATTCCTATTAATCAACATAAAATTATATATAATTACCTTCTGGACTACAAACAGCCTATTCACAATTGTTTTATGCGGCTGAGTTTGAAGCTTATGATCTTTGGGGTTTCACCAGGTTTTCTGATAATGTGCTGTGGGACACTGATCTGTTGGTCAGATTCAACATCACACACAATGGAGGCACTATTTGCTTCCAGGAAACAACTATGCCAATAATATTTTGATATCATAATATTTTTTGGAGTGAATTTATCCTTCAGCTATTTATTGAAAACTTTTACATAAAAGAACGCACTCTCCATAGCCACTGCAGTGTGAAACATCTATTGTTTTCCTTCTTGGGTCTCAAATTCAAATGCCTTCATTTCTTTCAGCACCATGACTGTCACAGGCTTTTCTGCAATACTCTTGCCTGATGGATTCCTGCTGGGCCACTGTCTTTTTCCACTCAGGTTGAAGGCAACAGAAGAAAGACTTCAGCTTGAGTAAAGAAGGTACTATTGAGGAAACATCACTTCATTCATGATATTAAACCTCTGAAAGCCAGCCAAGGTAGATGGAGTCAAAGAAGAGATATAGAGGGGTAAGGAAGAGATATGAGATCTAGAATTATCTAGATAGACAAGAGAGTGCATAGGCAAGAATTCATGTCCTACTTTCAGATGAGGCCATATTACCAGCTTTGGAGGCAGACTCCCTGAATTGCATCCTTGCTTTCCTACTGTATGTGAAGAGCCCATCAGATCTCTGAGACATTGCTTACAAGGCAAAGGGGTGAAGCTGGTCCTTCTATTGACTCCATTAGGACACAAGATGTCCTCATTCCTCCACCCAATACTGTACTGAATATTCATTTTACTCTGGTATAAAAGTAAGGGAGTTCATCAGGAGGTTAAAAAAAAATCAGCAGTCTCAAACTCTTGCTTTTCCTTAAAAACAAAACAAAACAAAACAAACTTCTATCAGAGCTATTTCTTAAGACCCAAAAAGTATACGTTACAAAGAGAGAGAGAAAAAAAGATTAGAAATCAATGCAAGCTCACCCTGAAATGCGTGCCTCAGTTGATAAATGAATATGAAGATCACTATAAATAAAAGATGCTATGCCTTTTGGAGTAAAATATGAGGGCAGTCACAATGTGATGGATCAAGTTTAACTCAATTAACCCCCTGGGATAAACAGGGGTTTGGAGTTTGCTGCATTTGAAAACTGAACTGATATTAAAAAAAAACAAGCTTCTATATGAGAAGAGTCATCCAGAGGCTCAAAAAGGAGAATTCAGTTTCTTTCCTTTTAGGTAGTCTCTCTCAGACACCTGCACAAGATTTAGAAAATGCTTTCCCCTGGACAACAGAAAGCAGCGCGATCATTCAGCATTCTGTGAAGGTGCACCAACTTATCTTATTGGTTGATGTGATAGCTGGAAGCTCTGTTTAGGGGATGGATTCTTTTTGGCCATTTCAGTCCACAAACTTTGCTCAGAAAATATGCTTTCCATTAGGATGTACACAAATCACTTTTGTAACATACCATTCATTAGATTAATGTTAGTATTAGAGCTTTGTAGAGCACATATGTGTCATGGGCATCTTTCCAGAAATGCATTATGTAACACATGGGTTTCCAGTTCATAATTGCAAAGGTTTCAAAACCTGAGCTTCAGAGGAGACTTTAGAAACAGGCTAGCTGCAATGAATTGTTCACGCCCTTGCCTAACTAGTCTTCCCAAATTATGCGCCTTTTCCAGGAAATGAGATCAAAATAAAAATGAAATTCTTGGTTAAAAAAAAAAAAGCAAGGGAGTTCAATTATCTGCACAAACCTTCCCAAATTTTTAGAGATGCTCCTGTGCTTGATAAAATGACAGATTAAGTTAGATGTGAGTAAAGGGAATGACCTAGATCTGAGATCCTACAAATGAGTTAAAGAGAGAATTTAAAAGAAGAATCAACTCTACTTTTATGAATTTACCCTTAGAAATAATGAACTACCGCTAAGGTTTATATAAAAGAATTATATCTTGTTATCTGTAATTCTAAAAAATTGAAATAATTTAAAAAACAGGGATTTGATTAAATTAAATATGTGATAGTCAGATGAGATAATACTATATAAATATTAAAACTGCTTTACAGGAATAGTATGATAAATTGATTCAAAAAGGGTAAAGGTCCCAAACAAAATATACAATGTGTTTCTTATTAGATTAATAAACATTAAGTCACACACACAATCACACTAGAGAGATATTTACCAATATCAAATATGGTTTTCTCTAGGTGATAAGATTATAGGTAATTATTTTCTTTGTGCTTTTCCAAATTGACAGAGATAGGAGATCGGGGTGTTGTTTTAGAGGCAAATGCTACTTTTGAAAAGCAAGTTGCTGTCCAAACTCAAAGGGGAATAGAGAAAAACAGAGGCATATAAGGCCAAGTGTAGGACCTCCTGAGTGGAATCTCCAGTAGGACCTGGAGTGCAGGAAATGTCTATCCATTAGAGGACACTGATGGACCATGAAACAGACTCTATTTGAACCAATTCAGGAAAGTGTCAGCTTCACTTAGGTCACTCCAAGATTTCTTCTGTTTGTACCACTTACCTATAGCTGGACAATGTATATTTCCATTACTGATGACTGGAAGGCACCACTTACACCTGAATCTAGTCTCCCTGTCCAGAGAAAGTGGTTGTTCTAGACAAAAGGAAGAGAGTATGTATAATCAGTTTCCAGAGTTCATGCATCTGTAAAATGATATGATACCTGCCTCACAGGGAATGACATTGCATGCTTGTGGTGAATTCTGTGGTGAGTCTCCCATATGTTGTCTGTTGCTCCTCTTTAGGAAAGGTAATCATTCTTACAGAAGCCAAGACTCTCTCCAGGTATCACTCTTGCCTGAAGAGAGCTACCTCATCTTAGTGCAGGTGCATAAAGGTCTTCCTTCCTGTATCCAAATTATGACAACTCTGAAAGGTATTCCCATCTCCTAAGCTCCCTGTGGGATTTGCTGGGGTATTTGCTGCAATGCATTGGAGATGAAATTTTGCCTCTTCTTCTATGTCATTCCCTTGCAGGTATTAATCCTGAGAACACTCTCACATATACCGCCTGAAAACAACTGTCTATTGCAGAGTTTTCTTCTTATAGAATCCACCCTGTAACAATGTGTTAAGATGCCCAGAGCCTGGCAGAGATTAGGAGCTCAGTAGGTGTTTAATCTGATGAATCTGAAGAAATCTCTCTTTTTGTTACCCAGACATACCTTTCATATTATAGCCTTGTTCTCTTTACTTGCATGCTGTGCGATAAAGAACAGAGGGCTCCAATGTGGGACATGACAAGGACAGTGACTGGAGGATGCTCTTACAAGGACTGAGGCCCCTCCACTTGCTCATCACAACTAATATGAGAGACTTCCAGTGGGGCATGTTCATGACATCATTTCTGGGAGCTGCAGAAACATCAGGAATCACTTCAACTTGACTTCTCTCTTTCATTAGCTTTGCTCCTTTTTTCCATTTGTATTTCTTATCAATGGGTTAAAAGTAAATAAATACATATTAACCCAGAAGAGATAAACATAGGTAGCTGAGAAATTGTAAATATTTCCTCTCGGGAATACAAGAAAATTATCTTGAGTCAAAACTTGCGTTGGGATCACACACACCTGCAGCTGCTTCAGCATATTGTAGCAGTAGGTAAATACCTTCAGAGATATAGGTACAGGAATATAATGATACACAAAAACATTCTGCCTCTGACATAGATGTTGTCAGACCAAATCCAGGAGAATATATTGACCAGAAATCTACTGTAAGAAATAACAATGGAAATTTTTCAGCCTAGAAGCAAGAAATGTCACACAGAAAGAAGAACTTACTGAAATAATGAAGAACACTTTAAAAGGCAAACACATGGGTAAATATGAAGAGTACTGACAGTTTAATACCACAACAGTGATGAGGACAGTGACAGTGATGATGATAATAATGATGACACTGTATGTGATTATAACATGTAGAGGTAAAATATGCAATAATAATAATCATAATATTAGCACAAAAGATGGGGGGCACATAAGTTAACTTTTACTGCATAATAAACCACCCCAAAGCTTAGTGGCTTAAAAAAAAACAAACATTACTATCTCTTATAATTCTGTAGATTGTCTGAGCAGTTCTTCCAATCTTGGCTGGCAGATGACTTCTCATACACACACGTCTGGGACTTTAGCTGAGACGCTGGGAAGACTGTGATAACTGGGGCTTCATCCCTTGTGGTGTCTCATCACCTAAATGCTAAGCAAGGTTTGTTCACAGTAAGGCAGAAGGGTTCCCAGAAACAAGAGAAGGCAAGCTCCAATGTACATACGGTTTTCACATCTGTTCTTCATGTTTCCTAATGCCCCGTTGGCTAAAGCAAGTCACATGCCTACACCCAGATTCAGAGGTTAAGATATGGAGCCTTGGGCTTCCCTGGTGGCACGGTGGTTGAGAGTCCGCCAACAGATGCAGGGGACACGGGGTCGTGTCTCGGCCCGGGAAGATCCCACATGCCGTGGAGAGGCTGGGCCCGTGAGCCATGGCCGCTGAGCCTGCGCGTCCGGAGCCTGTGCTCCGCAACGGGAGAGGCCACAGCAGTGAGAGGTCAGCGTACCGCAAAAAAAAAAAAAAAAAAAAAAGATATGGAGTCTTCACCTCCTGATGAGTATCTGCATGATCACAATGCAAGGGGTGATAGCGTGTTTATAGCTTACCACAGCATCAATTCATCCAATTCCCCAAAAGGTACCATTAAGAGTGTCAAAACCAAGCCACAAAGTGAGAGAACAAATACATTTCCATTTATTGACTGAGATAGTAGTGTACCCAGGGGGTTCACTTTTTGATACTTTATGTGTATATATAAACCAAAGTACTGGTATCCAGAATATAAATAACTCTCATCCACACATGTTTAAAAGGTAGACACACCACCAGATAAGTAGGCAAAAAAAAAAGTATTGTCGCTTTGCTAAATAAGATACACAAATGGTCAATAACCACATAAACATAAACAGCGCTCAACCTCAAAAGTTATCAGAGAAATGCATATTAAAATACTCTTTAAAAAATGGCAAATATTTTTTAAGTAAATAAGATATCTTTAAAAACCTGTGAACTAAGTAGAATTCTCAAATTGCTACACCACTTCAGAAAATAGTTGGGCACTGTTTGCTAAAATTCAATATATACTAGCCTTACTATCCAGTAATTGCATTCACAGGTGTACAGCCAAGAGAAAGATTCACACACATACACAATATTATATATATACTTATATAATTGCATACATATGCGTATATATAAATGAAAAGACATACTTAATGTTCATAATATTTATAATGAACCTAAGTGATCATAGCAGCACTATTCATAATGGCCCCAAATAACAATCAGCAGTAGACTCTCTCTCTCATGTATATGTATAAAACTATATATATATATATTTATATGTATAAAACTAAAATATGAAATGTTATACGGAAATTAAAATGAACAAACTACTGCTACAAACTACATCATGAATGAAATTATACTAACGTCATTTGAAAGAAGAAAGACACAAAATAATTTGCACTGTAAAATTCCTTTTATGTTCAAAAACAGGCAAAACTAGTCTCTGGTGTTAGAATTCAAGATAATGGCTATCTTTAAGTGTGAGTCTTAGAGGGAGTACAAAAGGGACTTCAGGGGTACTAATAAAATTTAC